CACACACACACACACACACACACACACACACACACACACAATAATACGGCTCCCCCAGGGCCCTGCAATTAAAAGCCCAGATAATAATAACAGCGTAACTGCAGCTGTCATTTACAAAGCTGTCACAGCAGACCTGGCCCAGTGCCTGAAATCTCAATCCTCAGTCAGGCAGTGGTGTCAGCTCTGTTTTGTTGTTGCTATGAGGTGGCACCTCCATCACGTCCATTCTGACTGACAGCAGCCCTGGCCAGTCCTGTGCCATCTGCCCCTTGTTGCAGCCACCACGTCCCTCCATCTCATTGAGGGCCCTCCTCACTTTCCCTGACCCTCTTAGTCATGGTCTCCTTCTCTAGGGACCAGCCAATTCTCAGAACACGTCCAAGTGAGTGAGATGAAGTTTTGCCATCCTTACTTCTAAGCAGTGTTCTGACTGTTCTTTCAAGATAGATTTCTTCATTCTTCTGCTAGCCCATCTATTCCATAATCTTCAAAATCATAATTCAAATATGTCAGTTCTTTGGTCTTCCTTATTTGTTGTTCAGCTTTTACAAGCATATAAGAAAAGGCTATGGCTCAGGCCAGGTGCACCCTAGTCCTCAAAGTGACACTCATGCTCTTTAACACTTTAAGGAGATCTTTTGCAGCAAATTATGTTATTTGATTTCTTGACTACTGCTTCTATGGATGTTGATTGTGGAGCCAAGTCAAATGATATCCTTGGTAACTTCAACTCAGGAGACACTTTAGCATCCCCATTTTCCAGCTGAGGAAACTGAGGTTCAGAGAGGGGAACTGATTCGTCCATGATTTCCCTGCTGGCAGGAGGCAGAGGAAGGAGTTCAGCTCCTGCTGGTCAGACCTCCAAGGCTCAGGCTTAGTTCCACGCTGAGTCGTTAAGAGGACGTGGGTGACCTCAGACCTCTTCACCCCCACCCCCACCCCCACCAGGACACAGTTTATTTGCTTACTCATGAGACACTTTCAGCACCCAGCTGAGAGATTTATTGAGGCACCAAGACCACTCAAGGTGGAAACAGTCACGTTAGAGCCCTGGCCTCCCCTCTCCCCTAACAGTCGTAGTCCTAACAGCCACAGCCAAAGAACCAACAGAGATGTCTCAGAAAACGCGCAGCCCGAGTGCTCCTTAGAGGCAAAGATGACGAAGCGTTGTCTCTCATACCTTGGGCGTGTTGCTAGGAGAGGCTATTCTTTAGAAAGGGTCATCATTCTTGGAAAGGTCAGTTAAAGAGAGGAAGACCTTCCATGAGATAGATTGACACAGTGACTGCAGCAGTGGGCTCAGATGTGTCCGAGATGATGAGGATGGCATGGGAGGGCAGGGTTCAGATCTGTTCGTAGGCTTGCTGTAAGTCATGCTCAGTGGCATCTAACAACAACAGCCGCCATTCCTTAAACATGTGCCAGAGACCCCTATAGTTCTTGTAGGAGTCCTGGGAGGAAGGTACCCATTTTACAGATAAGGCGCCTGAGGTGCACAGAGGGTCTGGGCCTTGGCATAGTGGGCTACGTGGCATGGGAGGCCAGAGCTGAGGTTGGCATACAGACAGGGAGATCCGATCCCTGTGGGACAGGGTGAGGGATGAGAGCCGCATCTGAGCTGGCCTGCTGTGCCCCTCCCCTCACAGGGACCTGGAACGGCACCACCAGGGTAGCCATCAAAACCCTAAAGCCAGGCACGATGTCACCGGAGGCCTTCCTGCAGGAGGCACAGGTCATGAAGAAACTGAGGCACGAGAAGCTGGTGCAGCTGTACGCCGTGGTGTCTGAGGAGCCCATCTACATAGTCACCGAGTACATGAGCAAGGGTAAGGCCGAGAGGACCCGGACACAGCTGTGCTCTCCATGGGGCCCCAGTCTAGAATGGACGTCTCTACGGAATCAAATTCTCCTGTCAGCTGACAGCTAGGCCCAGACAGAGTGGCCTTTTCCCGGTCAGCCTCGCCGTTCGTCTTGTCTCCTTGGTTCGTTTTCTAAAGCCCCATTGCCTTTCTGGGCCAGAAGAGAACTCCCCTCCTATCTACACTGGCTGCATCCAGACTGAGCCCCTGACTTGACCTTTGGTTAATGTTTAAATTAGGTATCAGTTGGTAAAATTCCACTTGGCTGAGGTTTTAAGAGTTCAGTGAGCTTTATGAGGGGGTTGTTCTGTGTACCCCTTTATTGCAATCAAGTTATAGAACATCACTATCACCCTAGAAGCTTCGCCCACACCCCAACCTCTGCCAACCCCTGAGCTGTCTCTGTCGTGCTAGGCTTTGCCTCCTTCCAGGCTCCGTAGATTCCGTTTTCTCAGCTGTGGTTCATGCACATTGTTTAGTGTATCGGTAGTTGATTCCTTTTAATTGCTGGATTGTATAATGGCAATGAAAGATAGAGAGAGATGGAGGGAGGGAGAGAGATTGTATTGTAATAGGAGTCACTGTGGCCCAGCTCTTCTCTGCTAACCAAAAGATTAGTGGTTCAAAGCCACCGAGAAGCTGTGTGAAATAAAGACCTGGCAGTCTGCTTCCACAAAGATTACAGCCAAGGAGACACTGTCACAGGGGACTGGCTGCTGCAAGTTGGACTTGACTTGAAGGACACAGTAACAGTGACAGAGTTCTACTATTGGATGTGCCACGGTCATGGTCATTTGGGTTGTTTCCCCATCCTGTTTGCGCTTTGAGTGAGAAATGCTGAGCTAGGGAGAGATTGTCTTCAGAGATGGGTTTGTACCAAGAGGCCAGTCTGCTGGGGTGGGCAGGACCCAGCAGTCACTGCTCCCAGCCCCAAGAGAGCTGGCCAAGTGGGGCGCAGGCTGCAACCATGTCTCTCTATCCAGGGAGCTTGCTGGATTTTCTCAAGGGGGAAACGGGCAAGTACCTGCGGCTGCCTCAGCTGGTGGACATGGCTGCTCAGGTAAGTCTCCCTCCCTCTGCCCCGCACATTCCCCGTCATGACTCAACCAACTCTTGCTTCCTGTGTGCCTCTTCCAGGAAGTCTGCCTTGGTGGTCCTCCTATTTGTGGCTATTGCTGCACGTGGGCCCTCTTATAGGAGAGGATTTGCTGACCTCTCCACCCTTGGGGATGACCCTATCCTGTGATTCAGGGAAGGGTGTGAAGTGGTCCTGAGCCAGGCTCTGGGGCTTCTCCACAGATCGCCTCCGGCATGGCGTACGTGGAGAGGATGAACTACGTCCACCGGGACCTCCGTGCAGCCAACATCCTGGTCGGAGAGAACCTAGTGTGCAAAGTGGCCGATTTTGGGCTGGCACGACTCATTGAAGACAACGAGTATACCGCACGCCAAGGTGGGCAGGGCGGCCGCTATGTGCTGTGCGGCCGTGGGCAGAACACGCTCCTTCTCTGAGCCTCAGTCTCTTTGCTGGCCACAAGGGGAGGACAGTGGATCTGATCTAGCAGAGCGGTCTTGACGCTGACACACACCTGACCTCTCTCGCTCCTGCAGGTGCCAAATTCCCCATCAAGTGGACAGCTCCAGAAGCCGCCCTGTACGGCCGCTTCACCATCAAGTCAGATGTGTGGTCCTTCGGGATCCTGCTGACGGAGCTCACGACGAAGGGACGGGTGCCCTACCCTGGTAAGAGCCTACGTCCAGTCTCTGAGTCCCTCTGCCCAGTGGCCTTGGGTGAGCCCCACCCCCTCCTGGACCTCAGTTTCCCTCCCTTTATAACGAAGAGAAGGAACATCCAATCGTAGGCTCTCTCTGTGATCTATGTGCTCAGCCCTGGGGTGGGACTTGCCCTTGGCCACACTGACCTGTCCTAGGAGGAAACCCTTTTGTCCACATCCACATCTTTGTCCCCATCACCTTCCTCCTCAAAACCACACTCCTCATGTGTGCCCTCCTCCAGGGATGGTGAACCGAGAAGTGCTGGACCAGGTGGAGAGGGGCTATCGGATGCCCTGCCCACCCGAGTGCCCCGAATCCCTGCACGACCTCATGTGCCAGTGCTGGCGGAAGGAGCCAGAGGAGCGGCCCACCTTCGAGTACCTGCAGGCCTTCCTGGAGGACTACTTCACGTCCACCGAGCCTCAGTACCAGCCCGGCGAGAACCTATAGGGAGCAGGCCCCAGGCTGGACTGGCCTCTTGGCTTAGACCCTGGGCAGGCAGCCGCTCAGATGAGTTCCTGCCTCCCTCAGCTGCCCTCCACCCGTCCTTCCTCCCGGGGCCCGAGTTGCCGGGCACAGGCCCCCCCCCTTTGTGGCTGGAAGGGCTTTGGGGTCCAGGGCAGCTGTTGAGAGTTGAGGCTGGTATGGCGACTGTCCCCAGCTCTCTCTGTAGTCACATGCCTGCCTCCTGCATTCATCCTTGAGCTCTGTGGGTCTCCGAAGGAGGAAGTGGAAGAAGGGCTGGGGCAGGGACCCCTTATCCTAGCCTCAGCCTACTTCACACGTCTGATTCCTCCACTTCACATGCCACCCCAGGTCTGTCTTCAGAGCTGGCCAAAGAACTTTCCAAAGAGGAGTGATGCTCCTAGCCCTCAGCCTGCCCCCCACCCTGCCCCCACCATCTGTTTCCGAAACATCCCTTGGAGGCCCCCGCGGGTCTACCCCTGCTGTCTGCAGTTGGTGGGGCAGCCATAGGACCAGCTGAGCTTGATGATGATGGGCGATGTGGATTCTCCTCTCAACCCGTCATGCTTAGACCTGGGACCCTGAGACATTACAAGTTCAGCCCCCGTGGGGAAGCAGAGTCCAGAGAGGGACTGTGACTTGTCCAAGGCTGCAGAGCAGTTCAGGCTCAAAGTGGAATTGGAACCCAGGACTCCCTGTGTCTTCCTCAGGAACCAATGAGGTTTGTCCTTGGAGGCTTCTTAGACAAGCTGGGGCAGCCAAGGGGCCTAGCAATGATGAGAGAAAGTACTGTTGCCACTCCTGGCTGCAAAGCTCAGCCAGGCTGGCATGGGAGGAGGGTGGAGGGGGGTGAGCAGGAGCTGAAGGGTAGAAGCTGCAGGGAGGCCTGCTTCAGCTGGAAGCAGTTGGGTGGTTTTTGACCTTCGGAGCCAGTCAGCCATGAAAATGAGTGAGCTCTCAGGCTCTGGGGGCAATCAAGCAGAACTAGAGCTAAGAGGCTAGGAGGTCCTGACCTGGCCTCAGGGACCCCAAGATCCTTGTCCCATTTTGTCCTATGGCATTTCAAGGCCAAGTCCCTGCATTCTTCCCAAGTCACCTCTGAACTCCCAAGCAGAGGAAGGTGTGCCATGCTGGGTGAGAAGATGAGGGTGCCCGCTGTTGTGCACCAGGACTGGCTGTGTGACCTCGGGCAGTCTCTGCCCCTCTCTGGGCTGCAGTGTCTGCTTTCTTATCACATACCCATGGCCTCCACAATTGCTCAGCTTCCTGCCTGGCATCCCATAGTGAGTCCAGCCTGAGGGGCATCAGGATTCTATGGTTTGGCCATCCCTTGCTATTCAGACTAGGGTATATGGCAGCCTTTCCTGGGGCCTCAGTGTACCCATCTGTAAAAGGGGTGGCTGACAATGGCCATCTTGCCAAGGGCCCCTATGTGTGTGTATGTGTGTACACGTGTGTGTGCCTCCATGTGTGTCCATATTTAACATGTAAAACTCCCCAATCTGTCCCCACCTGACACGTTGTACATTTCACCCACGGCCCCCATCATAGCAATAACATGCCCGCTGTCTGGGATTCTTGAGCCAGCCAGGCCCTGCCAGCAGGGAAGGAGGCCAAGCAGTGCCTGCCAACGAAATTTCAACTTTTCCTCTCATTCATGTGTATTACCAAGTCTTCTCCCATCCGTCCCAGTCCGCTGAGGGCTCGTTCACCCCAGCGTGCCCTCAGAACCCTCTCCCACTGCCCAAGGCCCTTTGTACAAGGTGCCCTAATACTGTTCTGTTTCCTTTTTTAAAAAAAAAGAAAATCAGTGTTTTGTAGATTTCAGATGACTATGCAGAGGCCTGGGAGCCCTGGCTCTGGGCAGGACCTTGGGGGTCCCACATTCCATGGCCCAGGCTTGGGGGAGGGAGGGAGGGCCCTAGAATTGGTTGTAAATACTTTGCATATTGTCTGATTAAACACAAACAGACCTCAGCGTTTGGCAAGTGATTTCTTGAGTATTTGATGTGTGTTGGAAAAATGGCTGTGGGGATGTGAGCACAGATTGTGTCCAGGGGTTCTCAGTCCTGGCCATCCTGCTGACTGGAGGGTTTCAGGCAAGGGGGTGACATGACCAGATTGAGGACAACAGTGGCACCTGCGGTTGTGTCTTGGGGTGAGTAGAAACAGCTAAAGCCTGGTTTGTTCCTGAGACCCACCAGCTGAGGGCCAGGTCCCTAAAGCATGGGAGGTGGAGGTGGAGGGTCTTGACATGCTGGGGGACCTGATGGGCCTGTCAGGTCTGAGGGGAACTGCCAGTGAGTTCATAAGGAGATGAAAAATAGAGGATGTGTCTGTGAGTGTGTGTGAGAGGGGGGAGCAGAGTTGACAACAGTTACAGACATTGGGGAAAATCTCCAGGCCCACTCAAGACTCACTTCTCGGGCTGCCCTCTGTCCACTTCTTTAGATAGTCTTGCCCAGTTTCTGCAGCCCCTTCACTTTTCCTTTCTGGTTTCAACTGGTTTGGCTCTTATTTTAAATGCAGTTTTTCTTTTTGATAATAGGTCGCCCCCTTCCCTCCTGCAATGGCTTAGAGGCTGGCGTACATTTCCAGGTTTGTCTGTCTGACCTGCCGCCTGCATGCTGCCTCAGGGTCTGTGTGTCTCCTTGTCCCTGTTTCTGTGTCTCTGTCTCTCTCTTCCAGATACTCATTTACTAGCTTTCTGAGTTTCAAGCCTGTTCATGTTTGATGCATTCATACATAAAGTCTCAGGGAAGGTTTCCCCTGGCCCAGTCCTCCCCTGTCTCCTGTCTGTCCTTCTGTACACAGGCCTGTCTTCCTACAGCTCCCCTCTCCCTCCTCCACAATCTCAGAGGCCCCACTCCCACCGTTGCTCATCTCTGTGTGTTATGTAACATATGTATCTGTGTGATGTGTGTGCTGTGTCTTGTGTACATGGTGTGAATGGTGGACTGTGTGCTGTGTGTGTGTGACACCTCACATCTCTGTCTCTGCCCAAGACGTTTTATCTTTCTCTGGGATCCCTTTCATTCAGTCAGTCAGACCACAACAGGACTTGTGGGGCCTGAGTATGTCTGTGTCTGCCAGGGAGCTCGTTCTGGCTTTTTGTGGGCTGAGCCTCCTGTCCCTTTGAACCTTGTCTGCTGTTGAGTCCTGTCCCCAAGTCACATGCTTGTTGAGCGGACCCTCCCCCCCTTGCCTGTCCACTTCTCTGCAGCTCCACCTTATGGGGTCATCGCCATTGACTGCAAGTTCTGTTTCCTTTCGTTCCCTGGGCTCTTGTTAAACCGTCCAGGGTGGAGCAGCTGCTCCTGACTCCTCTCTCTCTCTCTCTCTCTCTCTCTGTGTGTGTGTGTGTGAATGCATGTTTGTGTTTGCACGCTCACGCAGGACAGAGACACACAGTCACCTGCCCTTGATTATCTCTGAGATGACCACATAACTTTGAATATGGCATTTAGATGTACACACAGAGAATGTATACGTATCACATACACCCCCAGAGGGCCTGGGCTTGAACCCCTCTCTGCTGGGTTCTGGGTTTTAGTGCTTGTTCTATGATCCACCCTCATTTGTCCTTCCACTGCGTCTGTTAGTCCCTGTTAAATCTCCTTTGTGGACTAGAGCCCTGTGTCTCCTATAAAGTTGAAACCAAAGTGACTCCATCTCACTGACTTCCTGGCCCTACCCGAAAACGTGACTTGTGTACATCCATTCCAAGAAATAGTAAATCACTTGGTTAATGTATAGTTGACATTTGAATACCCCTAGACATGGTTTATGACCTTCTCCAGGATTTAGTTAATAGTTAAGATCAGGTGTGGTGGAAAAACGGAAGATGACTCAAGGCCCTGGGATCTACTGTGTCCACCCCAGCTGGCCAGTTAGGGATGGACAAATACCCCAAATCTCTCCTTGTTCGGGGCTGACGCTACGTTAGGCCTTGGCCTGCTTTCACCGAGGTGCACATTTTAAATAAAGCATATTTGCCATACCCTCGGGTGGTGGTGCTTCTGGATGTCGTGGTGGGTTTGAAGCTTTCACCTCCTCCTGCCCACCTACCCTCTCCTTGTGCCTGAGGTGATGCCCTGGCTGTGTGTGTGTGTGCCTGCACCACCCCCCCCCCCCCCGCTGTCCTCCCCTCCCGCCTCTATCTTGATTATTCCAGATGTGGCTTTCCTTGTCTCTGTCTCCTCCACGCCTCTCCCTGCCTCCAAGTCTCTGCTCAGACCCCTGCTATCTCCTTTCATAGGAATCTTTGAAGCTCTTAAATTTCACATCGCTTCCCTGGTTCATTCTGTCGTTTCTTTCACAAATTCCTCCAGATGCCCAGGGCATGCTTGACCCTGGCTGAGGTCTGGGGCTTCAGTGGAAGGAAGATCAGCTTGGAGGGTAGGAGCTGTACTGGATGAGTCATACACTTCGTCTGGAAGGACCCCTGGGCAGAGCAGATGCAGGATGGCCCAGACTTAGGAGCGTAAACAAGGCTGCCCCACTTGTGTGGGCCCCGGGATGGGGATGGGGCAGCTGCCCTGAGGAAGGGACCCTGTACTGATGCTGGGGAAGCAGGAAACAGGTGGAGGGGGCTGAGGCTGATGAAGGGGAAGGGCACCCCAGGCAGCAGAACAGCACTATGGGGGTGGGGCGGAAATGGATGGAAGGGACCAGGGGGCTGCCATCCGGTCCTGCTTCCTCTCTTTACC